GAGAAATTACACGGTGACTAAACATTTTCAGTAATAAACTGTAAGGGAGCATAGGGCTAACCTGTGGATTGCATGTGAGGTTTGCATACATGCATTTATCATCAGCAGGTGTGACCTTGTAGACTGCGTTACCCGATGATGCTAAGAAGCTGAGGGTCAACTAGTTAAAGGAAAAATTCAACACTCAAGAATCAGCGAGTTAAAGAACATGTCGTTGGACTTCCTTGACTGCTTCACTTACTTGTTACAAAGACTCACGGGCCATTTCATTAGGTACACCTGTTCGACTGATTGTTCACACAAATATCTAATCAGCAAATCACAAAGAAGTCTCTGGGTGAAAATGCTGATGTCAAAGGTCATAGGAGCAAGGCCAGACTGCTTCGATCTGATAGGAAGGGAAGAGTAACTTAAACAACCACAATTATTCTTATTAAGGTACGCAGATGAGCATCTCTGAACGCACAAGATATCGAAACTTGAAACAGACGGCCAAAACAGATGCTACTCCTGTAAGCTAAAAATACTGATGCAGCATAAGTTCACCAAAATTGGACAACAGAAGATTAAAAAATGTTCCCTGGTCTGATGAGTTTCAGCTGGAAAAATTTAGCATAAACAATATGAATGATGGCATGGATCCTTCTTGCCTTAATTCACTGGTTCAGGATGGGGATGGTGGTGTAATCGTGTGGAGGATACTTTCGGCTGTTTAGCAACAACCGTTTCCATCATCATGTCAAAAAATAATCTCAAATTAGTTTCCTGAACATGACAATGAGTTCACTATACTCAAACAGCCTCCACGGTCACCAGATCTATCCAACACAGCACCCGTGGGACGTGGTAGAACGGGACATTTGCATCCTAGACGTGCAGCCGACAAACGCGCAACAACTGTGCAATGCTGTCAGGACAACAGGGACCAAAATTAATATTTTCAGCACCTTGTTGATGCCATTAAGAACTAAGGCAGTTATGAAAGTAACAGAGAGTCCAATCTTGTGATAACAAGGTGTACCTAGCAAAGTCACCTGTGAGCATATGCAACAACCAATCCATGATCCTGACTTACCTGTGCCTGGTTCTAGACTTTTTCCTCTCCACTGTTGCTCAATGCACGCTCAAAGGGAACTACTAGCTTTCTCTCTAATACTGTAGTCTTTACTTTACTATTTCAAGTGTCCTGAGATAAATTATGCTGTGGCACAACATCAAAAAACCTGAATTTAACCGGTTTAATCTAACAGCTTTACTGATATTACACATTATCTTTTGGATGATTCTAATTAACATGCTGCAATTCGTCTGTAGTAAAAAACAGATTGCTTCAAGGCAGCTCAACTCCTTTAATTCTCTACATGAAACTCTGCCTCAGTTTGTCAGTATTTGGAAGGATACACTGCTGTGACAGCCCAATAAGCGATGCAGATGGCCAGAAGGAAAAAGGTGATGACAGGGTAGAAGAGGGTGGACATGATGTAGCCGATTGCCCTGAAAAAACGCCAAGAAAAACATTAAATTCATGAAAAAGAACAAAACGCACTGTTTAATTATCAGAAGCAGTATCCA